TCTAATACATAATCTGCTTCCTCCATGTTTTGTTTCACATATAAAATATTTTTGTATCTTGCGGTGATAACACCTTCCTAAAAAGTGAGTCAGGCAACCATTCTGCAAAGTGATAAAGACACCATAATGCAGCCTCTCACTGGGTAATTCCTCACATTCCACTTACTTTTCTAGATTCAAATAGAACATACAAAATTAAGGATTTCAAATAAAAATGTTATTTAGCACCTTCTTTTAGCACTTAGAAGAATAGATAACAGCTGCCAAAAGGAAAAATAAGTATATTTCAAAAAAAAAAAGATTGCACCACATCAACTCTTCAGTTTTGTGGAAAAAAAGAACCCATTTAACCTCTAGAAGGGGTTGATGATGGCAAATTGTGTAAAATGGCAATTAGAATTTTCCAATAGCAATGCAGTACAACTTCAGATATGACTGTGTGGTAAACAAAAGAAATAGCAGGGGAAAACAAGGATCCAGTTCTCAGTGAATAATCGAATATTATTGTCTGCTGATAGACCAAACATCAGAAGTCTTATCAGATAAACAATCTACCGTAAGAATTAAGCTCCTATGAGAGTGCTAGAATGTAGGCGCTACTTTGTTAAATAGTTGAGATGAATACACATATGACTCTTCCACCCACCAAAATCAGACGTATATTTGCATCTGCTTCCTTCTAGTCTAAATATGGAAGGAATTATATATAATAAAAAATTCATAGTTACACTTCCCACAGTAATTTAAACTCAGCTATATTTTGTATGCAAAGAAGTTAAAGTTACAGTATGTTATTCTGCCTCTTAAAAATATTAAAAATACCAGAGGGGGAATGTGGGAATCATAACTAATTTTACTAGCTTGCATGAGTTCAAGACCTCAGTGAGACCACTGCACTGAACATCTAAATGACTCTAAAATTACTCTAGTTAATAGCAATTTGTTTATTTCATTTATGAATCTGTTGCTGCCCCTTTACTGTCCCTGGTTGTTAAAGAAACACATTAAGAATGTGAAAATACCACATGCTTTGCTCAATCTTTTTTTATGCTATTTAGACAAAAAACAGAACTTTTAAGTTTTCACTTTTACTTTTCTCTTTTACAACATTGCATTGCTATCTAGTATTTCACTGCTAACATTAGAACAGACTCTGAATTCTGGTGCCAGCAATTAGAATCACTGATTACCACTCCCCTTCAATTCGTCCATTTGAAGTATTACCAAACTTTTTTTCCTCAGACCCATCTAGCTCAAAACATAATTCACTTCAGAGCACTAACTCAATTCAGCGAAAACATTTTTATGTATTTCACACCTTTACCTCATCTTTGAAAAGGTTTGTATCAATATAGTCAAAAGAATTTAAAAATAGAGTTAACTAAGACAATTTCGTCTTAGTTTAAAAAAAAAAAACAAAACTGTGGTTACAGAGTTGTCACCCTTGCTTGAGGAAGAAAAGAATAGGAAAAGAGCAGCAAAACAATTTCTTCTGCCAGTAAAAAGTAGAACATCATGAATAATGGATGGCAGCCTTGGGTATATGAAGGAATATTATTCATTGTAGAAAAAACAGATTATTCCAAAGCCAGAATGCTACCTCATAAATTTGGAAAAAAATATCTCCAAGGAAGCAGACTCCACTACCTCTCTGGGTAACCTGTTCCAGTGCTCAGCCACCCTCACAGTAAAGTTTTTCCTCATGTTCAGACAGACCTGTTCCTGTGTTTCAGTTTGTGCCCGTTGCCTCTTGTCCTGTTGCTGGGCACCATCGAAAATAGTCTGGCCCCATCCTCTTGACATTCTTCCTTCAGATGCTTGTACACATTGATCAAATCCCCCTCTCAGCCTTCTCTTCTCCAGGCTAAACAGTTCCAGCTCTCTCAGCATCTCCTCATAGGAGAGATGCTCCAGTCCCCTCATCATCTTTGTAGCCCTCTGCTGGACTCTCTCCAAGAGCTCCATATGTCTCTTGTACTGGGGAGCCCAGAATTGGATACAGTACTTCAGGTGAGGCCTCCCCAGGGCTGAGTAGAGGGGGAGGATCACCTCCCTCCACCTGCTGGCAACGTTCTTCCTAACACATCCCAGGATACCACTGGCCTTCTTGGCCACAAGGGCACATTGCTGCCTCATGCTTAACTTGGTGGCCCCCAGGACTCCCAGGTCCTTCTCTGCAGAGCTGCTCTCCAGCAGGTCAGCCCCCCAGCCTGTCCTGGTGCATGGGGTTATTCCTCTGTAGGGGCAGGACCCTGCACTTGCCTTTGTTGAGCTTCAGGAGGTTCCCCTCTGCCCATTTCGCCAGCCTGTCCAGGTACCTCTCCAGCCTGTCCAGACACAGCCCTCTGGTGTATCAGCCACTCTTCTCAGTTTTGCATCATTGGTAAACTTGCTGAGGGTGCACTCTGTCCCTTCATTCAAGTCACTGATCAATAAGTTGAACAAGACTGGAGCCAGTATTGACCCCTGGGAGGACACCACTAGCTACAGGCCTCCAACTAGAATTTGCGTCAGTGATCAAAAAAGTAGTAACACCATTAAAGGTTAAATGAGCTATCATTAAATTTCAAATCTCATTTACACCTTTCTGCTTTTCTCACTTGACACTTGAAGAAGGAATCTGTTGTGCATTCTTTCAATCCATGCTCTGTATCTACCAGTGAAGCTTATATACCTGCATATACAATTTCTAGATATTTTTAAAAAGATACCTACAATAATTAAAACCGGACCAAAATAATCTACTTGTATCTTCTTATAGAAACAATTCAATTGCTTTTGGGCCATATATATAACTGCATGGAAGTTTTGGTCTGCGACTAGGATTAGATAACAGAGATATTTTTAAAATTCCACAGAAACACAGAAAGGTCTTAGAAGAATGTGACTGACAGCGACTGACCTATGAAGCCTTCAGTTAGTTTGCTAATCTCACAAAAAACTATTTTATTTACAAGAGAGCAGTCAAAAATATGTGGCTAAGAGAAAGTAGTAAGACATGTTCCAACAGCAGTAAGATTTACAGCAGCTTAACTGGTAAACCACACCCTCAACTTCAGCCTCTGTTGTGCTGGCACAACTGTTTGTAGGGAACTAGTCTATTGAAAGAAGGCCTGGCCAAAAGGAAAGGAAAGGGGTGGGAGAGGGGGAGAGAAAGAGCTGGATCAGTAGGAAATATTTAAAAGCGAGTCTAACAGTGGGAAATGCTCTGTGTAATCACCAATTCAAATCAGCCAGAACTCTTTTCAGTACCTTAAAAGTCACAGAGCCTTTAAAATCCAAAAATAGTAACTGGCTTAGCTGACAAACTCAATTTGAGCACAATAATCTCACAAAAAAGTCTATTTATCGAAATATTACCTCATTTGAAGATTTGACTAGCAGCATGGATCTATTACCTCCAAACCAGCTTATGAGAATGCCACAAATGCTAGAAGCCCATTAATTAGTAAATAAATACAAAGATGCCCGAAATACATGTTCAAGTAAATCACCGAACCGACCCATCTAACAAAGCACTTGTTTTAGAAATTAGACTCAAATATTAGAATAAAGAAACTTCTCAAAACAGGAATTAAGTCAATGCAAACCTACTGCTTGGGAAGCCAGAATCAGTTCAGTTCTCAAAACTAATCCAGACTCACTAGTACAGTCTGCTTTTAAGCTTCTCAAGTCAACAAGGCAAATAACCAGTTGTTTCTGCTGGAAAAAGAACTGGACATCTGCACTCTGTAGCTGCCAAATTTACCCAGTGTGTGGCCACAGGTGTTGACCTTAGTACTTTAGAAGCCAAAGGAGAAAGACAAAAGAAATAGGCATTAAAAGCTCTACTAACAGACACAGTCCAATATTCAAGTTTCAGGAAAGTAAGAGGCACAACCTACTTCTCTTCTCCGATTTGAATTCTAATTATACCCAGAAGACAACAAGAGGAAGGACTTGCGTCTTTCTATAAAGTAAGTTAAAGATTATGACCCTTTCATCTGATACTCTTGAAAACTTTTGAATCTGACTTCCTCAAAATGGTACAATATATTCAGAGACTTGCAAACCCCGGTAACATTCCCACTACTTAAATACTTCTGCTTAAATAGAATCATGAAACTATTAAAAAATAACATCCAATAATTCTGTTGTCTAAGAGTTCATGCCGATGTGATCAACTTCAGTCAACAAGTAGTAATACTCTCTAAATCAGAAGATTTTTAAGCAAAACTTATTTTTACAATATAGCTACCAAAAATTTCCTCAAGCAAGGTGGTGGCACAGACATACAAGAACATAAACCAAAATAAAAAAGAAAAGAAAAGATTACTACAAATTCTAGGAAGTACTACAGCCTGGAATTTAATACAGATCTAGAATGGATATGCTTTACTACAACAACCCTTATACACAAATGGGAAAGAATGCAGCAGCTACTAAACCATCCAGGGCAGCAAAAAAACTGAAGCAAAGCTAAATTACTAATGAGAAGCTTTTGAAATGTTGTAAGTTTAAAATTTTAGTTTGTCCTGCTAGGACAATGGAAGACTGAAAATTTAACTGAAAAATTTATTTAGTATGTTAGACTTGAAGCATGTATTTAATGAACGGTCTTTATGTTTATGCTGGAAGCAAATTTAATTACATTGTCTACCATCCATCTAGTCACACTTCCCAGATTTTCACTATGCAACACTCGAACTCCAATTATTCCACTCATATTCAAGTCAGCTAATATATTACAAATTATCAGCCATAACTATTGCAAAACATGTTAACTCACACTGTTAACATACATTTACTGTGCAACTGTACTTCTGTGAAAGTAGACTATTAAACTTATATTCCTGCTAATGTTGAAATAAGACTGTAATCTAAAGACCCTAGAAATTCTTTAAATTCAAAAGGCTTTGGACCAAGCCTCTAGATGTTTAGAAGATTTGGTAGACATAAGTATATTCTACACAAAACTCTTCTGAAAACAGTAAGACGCCACGAGAAAGAAACAAAATTACCTGAAGCATCTTGTAATCATCTTGATGTGAAATGACTTTTTCTTTTTTTTCCTTCAAGAAATCCATTTCTAAAATACTATATTTCTCCAGTAAATATTCTAATTCCTGTAAAGATTACAAAATAAAATACTGGAAGTTAAACTTTTGTGAATTGTGAAAACACAAATTCAGGTAATCATTCCATCTAGTTTCATTTCTGAAGACTAAGACATTTTCCATCTTAATTTACACTAGATCTCAATACTAAATTTCTCCAATTTTTAGGTTTCTCTAATATTCAACACTAAAGTATCTTTCCAAAACAAACAAACAAGTGAAAAAGGTATAATGTTTGACAACTATATACAATCAATTCATCCTATTTCTCAAAAAAATTATACCCTGGATCCACAGAAGTCATCACAATACAAATATACAATGGAGCTGAACTAGCTACCATGTACTCTCTCTCTCCATTTTTATTCTCAGCAGAGATGAAGGGTCTTGCCAGAGAAGCCTGACTGCAATCTTTAAATTGAGATAATATGTTTGTGAAGTACCAGCTTTTTTAAATAACATATTCCCACATTTTAATGGCTTGCTTTGTCATTTTAAATTAAGAAGAACACATTAAACATCCTTTTAAAAACAGTTTCACTAAAACGGCAGAATTCCCAATTCATACAGCTCTAATGATTTCCAGCTGCATCCCCAAAATGACTATAACTTTGAGATACTCTGTGCTCATTCAGCTACTTGCAAAGAACCAGCCTGGTACCCCCAACATGAACCAAGAGAGAGGTAGGACAGTAACACTACTGGCAAAAAAAAAAAAAATCGAAATTATTTGCCATCCAAAGAGCTAAAGACCTTTTGTTATGTTTTTTAAGTTGCCGTTGCTCCTAGCAAACTCATTCCTACTACACATAAGCTATTGGCAATTATTTCCACAGCCACACAGACAGTTTAGAAAGAGATGACCTGCTGGTTCACTGTACAGCTATTCAAACAAAGGCACAACTGAGGGGGTCATGAGGAGGACAGAAGGCGTAAGTCTGCTTAATTCAACCATGCTTTTTGAAGAAACAGTAAAATCAGTTCTTGGGACTCGAACAATTAGATTCGTCTGTAAAGAAAAGTTCAGATTTTGCAATCATTCCTTATTCAGAGCCTAGCTCTCAATCTTCTCGTATAGTCTGTACCTATGCTTCCCTTACAGCTTTCCTCTATACTCTTCACTCTCAAAGTCAATCCATTACAGACCTTCTTGTCCTTGGCTCTAGCAAGTCATCCCCATCCTCATTTTCACTTCTAACAAGCCAATTCCTCCTTCTCTACCACACCTTGATAGCTATCAAGGAATAGGATTAAGAATACAAGAAATACAACTTACTTTTTCTTATTCTCCAGGGCCTTCAGTGACTAATTTCAGATACCTAATTACAGGCAAAGTCCTGCCGGGTACTGTACTCTACCATATTCATTGCAGAAGGAACATGAAGAATTTAGTTACCAGACTCTGCCCACAAAAGCCTGTATTACATGCTATGTTCACAAAGACAGCCTAAGGCACCTTTAACTTCAGTGACCACACACTCACTCTCAAAACACGGGGGAACCACTATATCTGCTGACCACAAGGCTAACCACAAGAAAATTAATG